CTATTCACAGAGCTTTTTAGACGGATGCCAAAGTTTTTATAGATCGGCTAGAATCTGCGACCTCTGACCCAGCTCGTTTGCTGGCATCAATGGCTGCAATACGTTGTGTTTTCCACCAACTGGCAACCCGGGGTGTTGAAATACTATTGGTTAAACTGGCAGTGGGTGGAATCACACAGACCAAAACAAAACCAGACATTCCGTCACAGAATGCACATTTCACAGTAGAACAACTGGCTGTAGCATTGTTTTTCAGACAAGTATGTGAACTAAATATCTGCAAACACATTAGGGTATTTTTATGCTTTGGTACAGTCAAAAAATTAAATACAGCACACCTTTAAAGTTCACCCTGCAATCTTTGGCCAAAATAAAAGCTTGTGAGCTTGAGAGACCATATGTGTATATTTAATCTGAGAGCTATGGCTAATGGGAACATGATGATATAAGAGTATATAATGACATAAATTTAGGTCTGTTACTCATTTCTCATTGGAGTTTGGTACAACATAATGGTGAGCAAGTAATGGCAGAATGTTCATTTTTGTATAAAATATTCCTGTAACAGACACCCCATGCATACTGTCCTGTTTTCAGGGAAGGGCATAAATGAGGGTAAAATGGAGTGTCAAAAACACTGTGTTCTCCCCTCTGTAACTGATCTTATGCTCTGTTAACCTCATGCTCTCAAACACACCACACACACACATGCCTCGTTTCAGGGAGAGGACCTCAATAATGAATGGGCAGATAAATGAGTTTCCCTTAAAGCCCTCTGGATAGGAAGACAAAGAGAGCACAAGGCATGGTGGAAATCTTTTCCTTTTTCAATCAATGTTGTACCAATATTTTTTTCAGTGTAATAACATTTTTATCATTGCCATAAAATGTTTAATCGATGCTAGTGAAGAGAAGAGAAGAGAACAGTGTTAACAGGGATTCATTTTAACACAGAAGAATGTGGCTGTGATGAATAAATCAGAAAGCCTACGGTCAGATTAATGTATGTATGTGATGGCTTTGAGTTTGATGTAGAAAGACAGATGTGTGATCATGTTACTGGTAATGTGCTTCTTCAGAGCTCTCACAGCTCAGTAGTAGTTTAGTTGGCTGCTTATTGTACAAAGATATTCAAGCAAGATCCACAAAAAATCCAATTGTCTGCTTTATCTTTCATTCAGTATGATGTTCTGATTGAATTAGAACATTGGATTAGTGTTGCTTAGAAACAGAAGACTCATGTTTAATTCACTAGGGGTGGAGTCCAGACTCAAAAGCCACGCCCACATAACATCCCTTTTAATATTACCTGTATTCCAGTATCAAAACATTACCAAGCGAACTAAACACACATTCAACAACTATCATACCATACATTTAGCACAGTCACTACAAGTATTCAGAAACTCAAATAGAACACTTTACAATAAGAGTACATGAATAGCCATGTAGTAATACCTAGAATATTACTTCAATATTAGCTAATTATGAATTAAGGCATGTACTCAGAAAGTGTTAATTAATACATTAAACAAACATGTAGTCAAGGTGGTCGTCATTCACACGTCGTAGTTAAGGTTAGTTCTTGATTAGTACAAGCCTTAACTCATCATTAGTTCATATTACAGTAATATTTAATTTATGTGATAGTACATGATTATTCATGTACTGTTATTGTGAAGTGTTACGAAACTTTTTATAACATGTCATTTGAACACAAGATAGGAAATAGCCTCTCATACTGAATATGAAGTTGTTTCTCCAAATTATTAAAACAATACACATTTACATAAATAAATAAATAAAAATTTATAAAAAATAAAGTTTTAATAAACTTTTATAGAAACTACCTTATAAAATCAATCAATCAGTCACCCTCCAGCAGCTGATGGTTGATGATTCTGATATATACTAAAATAAAAATGTTGTTTAAATAATAATTAAATAAAATAAATAAAATAATCTAATATATAAATATAATTAATATAAAATATAAATTAAAAACACAATTAAATAATATACACTGATCCACTATACAAAGAATATAAATTATTCTCAATATCTCTTTCTCATCTGTACTTCTTTTATTCAGATAACCACAAACCGTTAACACCCTATTAACACACTATCACACATAGTTGGCTTTGGCAAGGTAAGTGTGAAGTGAACAATCTCATTCCATACACAGACTACAATATACTGCATCTTCACACGTCCGTATCTCCTTATGTTCATTCCCCCCCCCCCTCTCTCTATCTGTCTCTGTGGGTTGTTTATTATTGCTGGTATAAGCAGATGATCAGGATCTGTGCGAACATGAGAACACACACAATCTCTGATTACATTCAGCTTGTTTTTCAGGTCAGTGCTGTACCATGGGAATGAGTCAACCCTTAGTAATGGCCTTTAGCCAAAGGAGAAGGTTCACTCTGATGCTTTCTTCACACAAACAAACACACAGAGACTCTTTAAACATAACATTTTCATACCTTATACACATAAAGAATGCACAGGATGTTAGTGCGAGCAGTTCACAATACATACAGTATCTATTCATCAGCCCATCTACAGTATCCATTAATGCTCTACAGTAGTTCTTCAGGATTTTACATTAGCCATCCAGTAGCAACTCAACCAGTGCTATTTTAGCAGTATTTATAAATATTTCTATTTAGCTTTTAATTTTTTTCAGTTTTAATGAACGTCATGGCAACATACAACACAAAATACCTCACACGGGAAACACTTAAAGGGGTCATATGATGTTGCTAAAAAGAACATTATTTTGTGTATTTGGTGTAATGAAATGTGTTTATGCGGTTTAAGGTTAAAAAACACATTTTCCACATACTGTACATTATTGTTTCTCCTCTATGCCCTGCCTTTCTGAAACGCGTCGATTTTTACAAAACTCATCGGTCTGAAAAGCGAGGTGTGCTCTGATTGGCCAGCTATCCAGAGCATTGTGATTGGCCGAATACCTCAAGCGTGTGACGGAAATGTTACACCCCTCACCATATTGTGATGATGCCCTGTCCGGCCGGAGCGACGAGACAAAAACATTAAAACCCATTACAAAC